AGTTGTTAAGCAAATTTTAAGAATTAAAACACTGACTTGGGTACATTGCTCGGCTTGCCCATAACCGAGGGCGCGGCTATTCGAATAGATTATACTCTGATCAGAGGTGTACATCTTTACCCACAAGACACATCTTCCTCACGTGTAACCACGTGCCACATACCACCACGGTATACGGACGGAAGACGTGACATAGTTCCCAACCCATCCTAGCCATAAATAAGAGTACCGACCCAACCCCACCTACGGCCGGAACCCCCGGGACAGGCAGGCAGGATTGAGCCCCCTAGCAGCAGGACACCAGCCCTGTGCCATGACATCTCGACTACCGGGCCGCAGCTCGTGTAGCCTTTATTTGCCCTGGAGAATGTCCATCGACCCCCGACTTCATCCATCTCCAATCCGTGTACTTTTGTTTATAACCAGACTGAGCCACAAACTAAGCCTTACCCACTAGACATGTGGAAGTACGGTAGTGCTTTGCAACAGAGGCCCGAGCTTAATCCTTATAGTGGCCGGGGTGCTACTTCCCACAACTGGCATGCACCCAAACCCCACCGAAAAACAGGTTTTAGGGGCTTTGAAAGAGGAAGAGAGGGGTATGTCCAATTCCACCATAAGCCAACCATTCCATAGTGTCCAAATGATATGAGAATTCCCAAAGTCTAAAGTTATAAAATCACCTAATGTTGCCTAATTAATCAGCGAAGCATCTACCTAAATTTATACTAGTGGAACCATGAATAGAGTACCCACTAGTTGGGGTTTTGTTTATTCTAGAGTGAACAAGGTAATAATAACAATAGCAATAATAATAAGGCCATAACAAAGGTAAATAGGCAAGGCTAAATAAAACAGTGATAACGCGGGAATTTAAATAAAGCGATAATGCATTAATTTAAATCAAAATAATTTTATAAACTGGGATTCAATATGCTCAAGGATGATGTGACTTGCCTTGCTCGCTTTCCCAAACGTCAGCTTCAACTTCCACGAAGAGCGGATCTTCCGAAGCTGCAGCGTCTACACGACCAACGGAAAAGAAACGGCTTTTACTCTACTAAACTCCATATAACAAGCAGAAACAAAGCACAAAAATGGGTTCTTGACTTCTTAAGGAAAAATTAGAGACTTGAACGGTCCAATTCCGAGTTCAAATGGCCAAGTTATGGCCATTTGAAGTTTATATGCTCTTTAAATGGATATTTGCGAATTTCTTCATTTAAAATTTAATTTAAAATAGATTTATTGCGTCAGCCGGGAGAGAGGAGCGCGCGGACCGGGTCCACGGGAGTGGGGCCCACGCGGCAGCCTCTCGGTCCACGGTGGACCGGGTGCACCCGGCTCACACCGGCCGGCGCCGTGGGTCCCACGCGTCAGCCGCACCCGAGGGCGCGGGCGGCTGACGGCCGGGCCCCACATGGCAGCCGCGGGGCGCACCCGAAGGCGGCCACGCCGGCATAGCCGACGGGAGGCGGCGCACCCGCGCCCCGATGGTCGCCGCCGGTGACCACCGGCGCGGCGGAGCGGCGCCCGAGAGAGGGGAGGGAAGGGGGAAGCGAAACGGCGGTCCACGGCTCACCCCGGGTCGACGGTGGCGACGGGAACGACGACCGGAGCGGAGGAAGGCGGCGGCGCGGCTCGGGTCGACGAGGACGGCGGCGTTCCGGCGGTCGGCGGGCGAAACGGAGGGGTGGACGAGGTCGGCGAGGTTGCGGCGAACCCGAAGAAGGCGACGCCGAAACGGGAGGAGGTCCGGGGCGACGACGGCGGCGGACCGGAGCTCGGCGGCGACGGCGGAGAGAGAGAGCGACGTCGCGAGCTCAAATCCGGCGAAGAGGAAGGGCGGCGAGAGGCGGAACCGGACGGAAGAGGCACGGGGAGCGTTTATATAGTGTTGGGAGGGGGAGAGAACGGCCGGAGGGGAAGAAAACCGGCGCGGCGATCTCGGGCTCCATCAATGGCGCCAGCGAGGTTTGCGGGAGCGGTTTCCAACCGAATCCGAGGGAGAGAGGGAGAGAAAAATGGGGGGAAAGAGAGAGGGAATCACGGGGAGTGATTTCCCCCTCTTTATTGCGCGCGGGGACGGCGGGAGGCGGCGGGATTCGCGGCGGCGGCGGCGCTAGGGCACGGGCGAGGCGGCGGGAGCGGCGGGAGGATAGGGATGACAGGTGGGCCCCACCCGTCAGCGAGGGTGGCGGGCGGGCCCGCCCGTCAGCGGCGCGCGCGCGGGGAGAGGCCGAGTGGGCCGCGGGGAGGAGAGAGAGGGAGGGAGATGGGCCGAGCCGGCCCAAGAGGGGGAAGGGGGGGGGGGAAAAAAGACTTTTTAGAGCTTTTCTTTTTATAAAACCTTTTTAACTTTGTTTATTTCTTAATAATTATTATTTGTGCTCTGAAAATTCAAGTAAAATTTGAGGGCTCCTTTTAGACCAAGGAGAATTTAACAAAAATTCTCCGGGCCGCATTTGAATTTTTCTTGTACGTATTTTAGTGTTTGCCAATTTCTTTTCGAATTTTAATTAATTCTATTATTCCTTTTAGCGAATGATTTTTAATTCGGGATGAATTTATCAGGACGTGACAAAAAACACAAAAATTTCATGAAGCGCAAGAGAGAGAAGTGCTCCTTTTGTGCGGGATGCATAGCTACAAGGAGTGCCCCTGTCATTGTTGGATTTGCAGCCATGTAGGCCACAAGGCAGCTAGGTGCACTTGACATTTTTCTCGTTGTGGCAAGTAGGGGACGAGGCCTGAGGTTCCCTCTCTATAACATGTCTTGGTGGTAAGAGCCTGTTTGTGTATGCATGTATAATGTTTCTCATCATCATTCTTTCATTCCTCAATTAATTCTCATGCACAAGCGAGATGTCGACCCTGACATGTGAGAAGGACAAGATCATGTGTTAGTTTCTTTTTAGAGTGTGTTTCATTTTAATTAAGTTTGTGCTATGCTATGCTTCAAGTGTGTATTTTTTGGGTTATGTTTGTTTATGCAAAAAAGTTGTGTCGTGTCACCAATTTCTGTAATGTGTATACCCTATTGACCTACTCCTCGATGAATAAATATTGTGTTATTTGTTGGACATGTGTTTTAAATTGAATATCAATGGCTTGTTTGGTGCACATGTATTTTAAATTGAATATACCTCATGTGATTTGGGGCCCATATAACAGACACATGTGGGATACAATATAAAGTTAAATTTGACAAGGGGCCAAGGCCCCCGCTTGTCATATACTAAATATGCCCGTGGTGATCTGGTGTGGCTCGTATATAAAGTCTCAAATCCATAATCACAAAGTCTATTGCCAAACTCATAATCATACAGTCAAAGAAGAAACTCGAACAATACAAAACAATGTCATCAAGCGCAAGCTGGGAGAAGTGCTCTTTCTGTAAGGGATGCATAACTACAAGGAATGCCCTCGCCATTGTTGGATTTGTGGTCATGTAGGCCATATGGCAGCTAGGTGCACCTGGCATCGTTGCGGCAAGCAGGGGACAATATGCAGCTGATAAGGAGGACCTTGGCTTGAGTTGCCCTCTCTGATACAGCAACAACCGGCCGTCCAACCACATGTCTTGGCGTAAGAGCATGTTTATGTATGCTCATATATTGTTTGTCACGCTATGTTTCCCATCATCATTCTTCCATTCCTCAGTTAGTTCCAATGCATGCAGTTCCTGTCCTGACATGGAAGAGAAGAAGAATCACATGTTGTTTCTTCTTAGAGCGTGTTTTCTTTTAGACAAGTGTGTGCTCTCATTCATGTGTCTACTATTAGGGTTATGTTTGTTTGTGGAATGAAGTTGTGCAATGTCATCAATTTATGTATTGTGTGTACCCTATCGACCTCCTCCTCCACATGAACAAAGTTGTGTTGTTTCTTGGAAATGTGTTTTAAATTGAATATTTTGTTATTTGTTGACGTGTATTTTAAAGAATGACTTAGAGAATGTTGTGTTATTTGTTGCACGCGTATTTCAAATTAAATAGGCCTTATTTTACTAGGGGCTCATCTACCTATATCTATATTCCTAGAGAGGTACAGCCTGAGCTGCCACAGCCATCCACGTAGCTACTTCTACTGTTGCACTGTTCATGGTTAGTAGTAGTAGTAGTACATGCTTTACTTTACCGTTCGCTTTACCCTCTCCATAGATGCAAACTCTTTGGTTGTTGCATGGCTCCATAGACTGTACAAGGGGTCCACCATAGGTTGGACCAATCATCAGTGATACAAGAGGCAAGCTGTTATGTGCAAAGCAAAATTCAGTTGGTTTTTAGTTTGGGCCATTTGTCAGTGAGATATAAAATACCTCAATGCATGTTGTTGGGTGTTTGCATTTTTGTAAAGATCCCTTCTCTTCCTTTTAAATAATCAGAGTAATTAAAGGTAAGGGCGATCTGCACCTCCCGGAGCGATTTGCGCGGTATTTGCACTAGCGTGTTCGTTTGCACTTGCATCCACGTCGTTCGGTAAATTTTTTGTGTCTCTGTCCTGTGGGGCTGCACCGTTTTTTCTATGTGCCTCTGTCCTGTGGGCTCCCACCATTCTTGCTGCATGCTGCTCTTTCTGCTGCCCCCATGTTCGCCCCCTCCTCGCCCCCTTTTTTCCCTCTTCCTTATGCGCGCATTCGACGGGAACGGGCAGCTCGGTCGCTGATGGGTGGCCCTGCCGCTGTGTACGGTGGGTGGCCCTGCTGCTATAGTTGGGGTGGGTAGATGTTGCCCTGTGAAAATTGCCCAGGTGTGCGTTTTTTGATCGCGCGTGTGGTGGTGGGCAGACGTGTGGGTCCCATTTTTTATGGCGAGGGTGGTTGTGGACAGAGGGGTGGGCCCCACAAATGTACTGCTTGGCCAATCGGTGTTAGACAACGTGGTACAGATCTGCCCGAGACGGCGTCCCACGCAAGAAAGGCGCCATATTTTTCTCCTCTTCTTTTCTTCCGCTTCTTCTCCAGCCTAATCCTCTTTGCTTCGACTGTACTGCTCTTCCGTCTTGCTGTCCCTTTTGTTCCGCTTCTTCTCCGGCCTCTCTGTTGCTGTTCGTGGCTATGGCGAGGTATGTGCTATCCTCGCATCGACTGTGCTTGGTGGCGGAGTTCCTTGTGCTTACTTCGTGTGTGCTTCTTGCAGCGACCTCACTGCCGATTGATAGGAGGACACCTTCTTGTGTGATTTCGCGTTTTGGCCAGGTCAGCGACACCTTTGTTTCTTCTTTTTCTTGATCCATCTTATGCTTGCTTCATCTTTTGTTTGTGTGCTGTGCAGGGAGGGCTTCTTTCCGTCCGAACCGGCTGAGGTCCTTTCTTTCCTCTGGTTTTCTTCCTCCTTGTGGCGGGTGCTGTGACAGTTCCGGTGCGTGGCGGCGAAGGTGCTTTCTTGCTCTGGCTGTTATTTAAAATTTTTGGGTGCTTGCATTTTTTTTTGCGCACCTTTATTCCTTGCTCTATTGCATTATATGTTTGGTGGGTGAGAGGGGCCGGGGAGTGGGGGGGGCGCTAACCGTTGGTGGGGCTGACGCATCGTCAGCGCTTTTTTTCCCACGCTTGACGAAAGGGACAGATATAGTGTCTCCTGGTCTTGGCCCTGTATACTTGCCCTATATGTTGCTTCTTGACGATTTCTTCTTGCACACTGCCTCCTTCCTCACCTTCATCCTTTAAAGTACTGTTTAAGGGTGGTTTATCTCCTGTTTGAAAACTCTCTCTGCAATTCGCAGTGCTGTTGGTGGGATGGCCGTTGTTGGGGTTTCGTTCGTTTCGTTGTTGAATGCTGCAGCTTCTCATTGCCGGTTGCCCTTGGTGTCATACCTTTGGGAGCTTGATGGGCATGGTACGCTGTTAGCTGGTGTAGAGCTTATCCTTCCGCCTGAAGACCCTGCCAGTGGTCAGGCTCACCCATCCAACAATCTGGCTAGGAAGTTCTTTTGGGTTGCTGCAACAGATCCGCTAATTGTTTCACACGAGATGGTTGCTCAGCAGGTTGTTAGGTTCATGCAAGCAAAGTACCGGTTCGCTGTTCATGACTACAATTTTCACATGCTGCTTTCCTATAGAAAGATTGCATCCTCTGCAGTGGATGCTGCTCTCACAGCGGCTTCATGTCTTGCTAGGCTCCAGTCACGCTATGGGGCGCTAGATCTGCCGTGTGAGGGTGTGCTGGGCCAGTGCAAATCACTTTGGTTTAGTTTTCTTAGGGAAGAACACTTCTTCTATAGCACACAACAACCTTAGAGCAGAGTTTGGGTTTACTTTGTAATGCTGAGTTGGTTTGTATTGCCAGGATCCTTGCAGTTAATTTAGCTATTTCTGTTCCGTGCATTCATTCTTTTGTGTATACATGCTTGCGTTGAGATTGTGTTCTGAGCTGGATTGTTTGATGCATTTGTCTTTCAAGAAACGTTGCAGGGAACAGTGTTTTGTGATTTAGGATTTGTGGCAGATGTCAGGTCGTGCAGCATTGCGTGTTCAGCGCGCACGTGAAAGCCGGCTAAGGCGGCATGCTTCCATAGGCCAGGGTCTGTTGTCCATGCGTTTCTGATATATGTTTGCTTTTGGTTTCTGGGACAGGTAAGTAAACATATTGGTTTGGTCCAATAGGCTACTTGCAGGCTCCCATTTTTGCTGCCGTAGGTTCTAGCTCCTCACAGTCAGTCAACCATTCCATGTGTTCTGTCCTGGTTCAATCTGTACATGTTGGGCAGCAGGGTACCAGTGCTGGTGCAGGACCATCCATGGAACAGCCCATTGACAGTGAGCCTTTGGTAGGAAATGCCAAAAGTAAGCCAGATTTTGATAAAATAAACCGAAAAACTATTTTGACCAAACAAACGAAGCGAGGCTCGGATAGTGCTCTAAGTATTTTTGAACACATAGGGAAAAGTTCATTGCTAGATATACCACGAAGTGCTGCTGCCGTTAATAGGGAAAGGCGGCGTATGAAAATATCTGGTGGTCAGACAAACCATTCTCTCGATGGTATTCTTAACGGTACGATTTTTCGGTGTCCCTTACCTTGGTTATGCCTTCCATGTGTCCCTGCGGGGTAAAAAAGGGTTGACTCACCGCATACTGCTTATTTTGCACACAATTTTGGTTCGCATAGGTCCCACGCCCAGTGCTGATGACATCTTGCCTTTGCCAAAAGACTATATTGCGTCCTTGAAAGGTTTGTTGTGTTGCATACTACACCAATTTCTTCAGCTTTACTGTCTGTCGTACTCTCATATCAATGCTGTGCAGCTTTGTACCCTCATCAGTCCTACTATGGTGGTCCATCTCATGAATGTCCACACTGCGGTGCCGTTTTCTGGTACCAGGAGAGGGTAAAGAAAGGATCTGTAGTCTCGCAGCGCAAGATTCTGTACAACCTATGCTGTAGAGGTGGTAAGATTAGTCTGCCTGAATTGAAAAAACCACCTTCTTTGCTAGCAGAACTGTTAAAATTTGATGGTAGTGTGCGATCAAAAAGATTCTTACGCCAGATCCGATCATATAACTCTCTTTTTGCGTTTACTTCCTCAGGAGCCAACATTGATAAGACGATAAACAATGGGACCGCACCTTGTGTGTTCAAGATTAATGGGGTTGTCCACCAAGGTATTGGCAGCCTGCTGCCACAGCAAGGCTCACGACCTAAATTTGCACAACTTTACATATATGACACTGAAAATGAAACTGCAAACAGAATGAATATTTACGAAAAAGACAATCCTTCTGATGAACCAGACCCAGACATTGTTAATGGGCTTAGTTCTATGCTTGATGAGCATAATGATTTGGTTAAGGCATTCCGCTTTGCTAGAGATCGGCTAAAAGATAATGGTGATCAAAAGATTGCACTTAGATTGCTTGGTTGTGATTCAAGAGATGAAATCCAGTACAATTTGCCAACGAGTGGTGATATTGCTGGTATAGTAGCTGGAGATTACTCAGCTGGCGAATACATGTATGATGTGATGGTTTAGTCTTGCGATGCTAGATTGCGACGTGTCTCAGCTTTGCACCCATCCTATATGGCTCTTCAGTACCCTTTGCTCTTTCCTTATGGTGAACGAGGATTCCATCTAGGTATAAAGTACACTGACTTTCCTAGCATCACTGGTGCCTCCAGACGCTATGTTACCATGCTTGAGTACTACCACTATCGTTTACATTACCGATTGAACAAACCAAATCCATATACTTGCTGTGGTCGTCTTAGCGATTCCTTATGTGTTGACTCATACTCAACTGTTGAGTAATCTAGGCTTAAGTACATTTTCGACAACCAGCCCGACCTGCGTTCTGAATCTGTCCAGGGAATAGCTGATGCGATTGATCATGGTCTTGATTCCGGGGATTCTGTCGGCCAATGATATGTGCTGCCCTCCAGTTTTACTGGAGGGCGTCGTTACATGGTTCAAAATTACCAAGATGCGATGGCTATTTGTCGGGTTTTTGGTTCACCTGATCTTTTTGTGACCTTTACATGCAACTCAAAGTGGCAAGAAATATATGATGCTTTGCTGTTTGAGCCAGGCCAGGTGCCAAGCGATCGTTCCGATATGATTGTGAGGGTGTTTAACATGAAAGTGAATGAATTCATTTCAGATATTAGAGAAGGAAAGACATTTGGTCCAGTCCTTGCTAGTAGGATGTTTACCTAGTTTCTAAGTTCCATTTTTATGTTCTGTATAGGTCCTAACATTGGCTATCCCTATATGTAGTGTTATATACAGTTGAGTTCCAAAAGCGTGGCCTTCCTCATATCCATTGCCTGGTTTGGCTTGCTGCAGGAAATATTGAGTTTAGTGCTCCTATTGTCGATGGTTTTATTTCCGCTGAAATACCTGATGTGCTAACCGACCCTTTAGGCTATGCCTTGGTTGATGAATTTATGATCCATGGCCCTTGTGGCGATGTGAACAAAACATGCTCCTGTATGAAGAAGGGAGAGTGCTCTAAGCATTTCCCTAAATCTTTTCAAGAAGAGACCATCATGGATGAATTTGTATTCACTGTTTACAAACGTAGCAATGATGGTCGGTATGTTCTCAAAAATGGTATTAAACTTGACAACAGATGGGTTGTTCCCTACAACATGGAACTTCTGAAAAAATACCAGGCTCAGATTAATGTAGAATGGTGCAATAAATCTAATATGATTAAATATCTCTTCAAATATGTCACTAAAGGGGCGGATAGAACAAAAGCATTCTTTGAGATTTCTGGAAATGCACCGAACAAACCAGCTGAAAACTGTACTGCTCCACGAAATGAAATACAAGAATATATCGATGCAAGATTTCTGTCCACCTGTGAGTCCCTTTGGCATGCATTTGAATTTGACATTCACTACAGAGTGCCTTCTGTAGAACGCCTAGCTGTGCACCTTCCAAACATGAACTTTGTCCGATACAAAAAAGGTTCTGACCTAAAGTCCTTGCTATCCAGCCCTGTAGCCAAAAAAACGATGCTAACCGAGTGGTTCGAGGCTAACAGAAAACATAACAGTGCACGAACGCTTACTTACTGTGATTTTCCGAGAGAGTGGACATGGGACAGCATCTCACGTAGTTGGCGTCCTAGAACACCATGTGAAAAAATAGGCAGGATATACTATGTCAGCCCAGTTAGCGGTGAGCTCTACTACCTACGAATGCTATTAATGATAGTGAAAGGTGCAACGTGCTATGCTGATGTTAGGACCTATGATGGTATCGTTTATCCGACCTTTAGGCAAGCATGCGAGGCAAGAGGCCTACTTGAAAGCGATAACGAATGGCACTTGCTATTTGATGAGGCTATAGTATCTGCGTCTTCGGGCCAATTGAGACAGTTGTTTGCTCCCGTTGTAATGTTTTGTTCTGTTGGATATGTGCGCTCGCTCTTTGAAAAATATTGGACATATTTTACCGATGACATTCAGCGACGTGTCAGAACTGCTTTATCGAATCCTTCGTACGTAATACCTCCTGATAGGCTCCTGTCTCTATTAATGAAAGAACTTCACATTGTGTTTTCAAACAGTGGTGGTAGCATTGATGATTACGACTTACCGCAGCCGGCAATTTATTCAGATGACATTACAGGAAATAGGATGGTTGACGAAGAACTTGCTCTTGATGTTGCGGCCCTAACTGCAGAAGCTAATTTGAATATACCTAGGCTAAATACTGATCAAAGAAATGTTTTCAACACAATCATGCAACGGGTGAACGAAAACAGGCCTGGGTTATTCTTTGTCTATGGCCATGGTGGGACAGGCAAAACATTTTTGTGGAATACACTGATTTCTAAAATAAGATCCGAGAAAAAAATTGTTCTAGCGGTTGCCTCCTCAGGGGTTGCCTCTCTACTCCTACCTAGAGGGCGCACTGCTCATTCTAGATTTAAAATCCCGATCGACATAGATGAAAACAACATTTGCACCATTAAAAGAGGAACTATGCTTGCAGATTTGATTCAGAAAACGTCTCTTATAATCTGGGATGAGGCTCCCATGACTCATAGACGATGCTTTGAGGCCTTAGATCGAACGTTACGTGATTTGCTTTCTGAGCACACGCCTTCTAACAGCATTGTTCCGTTCGGTGGTAAAGTTGTTGTTCTTGGAGGTGATTTCCGTCAAATATTGCCGGTCATAAGAAAAGGTTCACGTGCTTCTATAGTCGATGCATCCATCACGAACTCTCCTCTTTGGCGGCATGTTGTTCTTCTTAGACTGACAATAAACATGAGACTTCTTCATGGTAACGTTACTGACCAAAACCGTGTCGATCTTAGCAACTTTGGCGATTGGGTCCTAGCACTTGGTGACGGTAGGTTGCCTGCAACAAAAAAGCTTGACGAATTTGAGCCAACATGGATTGATATCCCTGATGACCTTTTGATCAAGACATGCGGTGACAAAATAAGGGCTATAGTAGATGAGATCTTTCCACACTTTGCAAATTGCTATACAGATCATTCTTACCTTGCATGTCGGGCAATTGTTTGCCCGAATAACTCAACAGTTGATGAAATAAATGATTGTATTGTTGACATGATACCCAGCGACGCAAAGGAGTATTTAATATGTGATACAATTTCAAAATCAAGAGATCATTTACCTGACTTTGACATCCTTTACCCCCTGAATTTTTGAATTCAATTAATGTCAACAACTTCCCATCGCACAAGCTTGTGCTCAAAAAAGGTGTGACGATTATGCTACTACGAAACCTAAATCAATCTATGGGTCTATGCAATGGGACAAGGTTATTGGTCACTTCTCTTGGTAATAGGTTGTTAGAGTGTGTAATTTTAACTGGGACAAATATTGGCGAGACAACATTCATACCACGAATTGCACTTACCACCACAAGTCCTAAGTGGCCTTTTACGCTTTAGAGAAGACAGTTCCCTGTTCGTGTTTGTTATGCAATGACGATTAACAAGAGCCAAGGACAAACCCTTTCACGAGTCAGCGTGTACTTGAAAAAACCTGTGTTCACACATGGGCAACTTTATGTTGCTGTTTCTAGATCAACATCAAGAGAAGGTCTTAGGATTCTCATAGAGGATGAGGACGAGGCATGTTGTACGAAAACCAAAAATGTTGTTTACCAAGAAGTACTGCAAGCAGTCACATCTATGGTATACTTTGATGTCTGGTTTTCCTGGATGATCCCTAGCTAAATTACCAGGATGCCATACCATGCACTAATATATTAAATCTTTACAATTGCAGGATGTTTGTACCTAGCTATCACTCGCACTACCCATGTTTGATGCTGTTGTGCGCCTCTGTTTTTCTGCTCTTCATTGTCCATGTGAATTTTTTTCCGTATATTCATCTAATGACCTCTTAACTTGCACACTTAGCTTCTTCAAAATTTCAATGTGCGCTGATCTCTCAAACCAAATGTTTTTTTTGCTATGTTTACATATGGGTGAAGTACAGATTCCTAACCTTGAGCTCGGTGATGGGAATCCAACTCTATTGGTACGTGTATCAAGGTTATGGGAATATCATGACCAGGACGATGAAGGCGACTTACGCCATATTGGTCTTGTTTTGGTTGGTGAGAAGGTGATTGCTTTGCGAACTTTATCTGCTGTAAAACCTGAGCAATATGTCATTTGTTTTACTGACAGTATTGTTTCATTAGGGATATGCCATTGCTGCTATGATTTATCCTCCATGGGGCAAGAAATTCAAACCACTGATCAGCGAAGGCAAGGTCTACTTGCTTACCTACTATCGGGTCAAGCCATGCACCAAACATTACAGGCCAGTTGACAACAAGATGATGATCAATTTCACCAGATGGACTGGTATAGAAGAATATGTTGACGTACAAGCTGGCTTTGGTCACTATGCTTATACTCTCACACCTTACCAAGAGCTCCGCTCTCGTGTCGACAGGAAAGACTCTTTCACAGGTACTGCAGATATGGTTCTATAATTGGTTATCTATTATATTACTACCTCTGGTTTGCTCACACATGTGTTTTGTTCTTGCTCTCAAAATAACAGATGTGATTGGAGTGATCACTGACATATCATCTGTGACAACTGTTCGGACACGTGTTAGAGACAGTGACAGTTTAAAAAGGAATGTCTACATGCGCAATGCTGAGTTAGCACTCATCCCTTATTTACTACTCCATATTATTAATGCATTTTCTGATGTTTTCTAACCCCTCTCAAATAATCTGTCATCTACATCAGACAATCACTGTCATAACATTTTTCTTTCATACTGGGCATATTGCCTTGCCCTGACAACTGCTTTTATTCCAACACACCACTGTTTTGGGTTTGAGACTAACTACTTACCATACCACAATTCCTCTTTGATTTCTTTTAAACATACACAACATAGAAATGAGACAACAAATATTGTGTTATGGGGAGAAAGAGCTACAAGCTTTCCTGCAGATGAAATTCTCAGTGCTGGCAAGGAGAAGCCACAGATAGTTATCTTTGTTGGCACACTTGTCAGGGGACATGGATGTAAGTCAATTAGCTTCCTTGCTTGCATTTTGTCCTATGTTTTCAGCTGTTGTTCTCATAGCGTGGGACACTGTTGTTATAGGGAATGTTTCGTTGTCGGGTAACTCTGCTTGCAAATGGTACATAAATATTGATGTGCCAGAGGTCAACACCCTCGCTGCTAGGTTTATTCTCTACACTTCGCTATCAGACAATGTTCTCTTAGCTTACTTTGTCCTGATTTTTTGAGCTAAACTGATTCTTTTTGTGCAGTGTTGAAGGGAATTACGAGGCAATCAAATGGATTGATCTCCCAGCTGCACCTATTCTTCAGAACAACTGTGAACAGAAGACAATCGCTGAGATAAGAGACCCGCACCCTTTTAAGTTCAAGGTGTGACCTTGCTATAGTCACTTCATGAACTTATAATCTGCATTATGCCATGAACTGTGTTAACTGTTTCCGTCTGATGTTAATAGAAACATGAATTCTCAGTGACTGTCGTGATAAAGAAACTTAACATGGAGTATTCTTGGTGGTATACTGCATGCGATATATGCAAGAAGACAGCAAAGCCATATGGAAATCTATATAGGTGTGGAAACAGCACATGCCCCCCAACTGGCTCAGCTTCACCTAGGTGAGTCGTGATAAAGCAATTGAAGCAATACAGACACCGATACATTACAGCTAATGCTACATTACATTCTGTAGGTTCAAACTCAGTGTGATAGCAGGAGATGACACAGGAGATACTACATTTATTATCTTTGGGCATTTAGCGCAGAGGCTGATTGGTCGTTCAGTTGAGGCACTGATGCTGGAAAATCCAACTGGCAAGGGCTGCATATCCAGAGAGATCACTGATCTGCTTGAGAAAGAATTTGTGTGGAATGTGAGTTTCACAGAGAACACGGTCTCTAGCGGCATTGTTGCTTTTCAAGTGAACAGAGTTGTTAAGGGTGCTCAGAGTCATTCCCTTGCTCTCTTGCAATCTCCATCTGGATCCCAGACATCTTCTCTGATGCCTTGCATGGCTCTATCGCCGGTTGCATCTCAGGATACTTCCATTGGCCAGCCCATAGCAGCCAGCCCATCAGCTGGGTTCAGTGATGCTCAACGCACTCTGAGTAGCCCACCAATCAATACAGAAAAGGATAAGAACACAGGAAATGAATATGCATCCAAGAGTCCTGCACAGGATGCTGGTGATAATGAAGATTGTTATGAGGTCAGTTTGTTTTATGCCTGACTTTGTAGCATATATATATTGCATATCATATTTGCTAACTCTATCTACTGTCAAATAGGATGATGAGGCAGTCAGCCTTACACAAGTGGCTTCTGCCCCTGCAACTAAGAACAGCACCTCAAAGGCGTACAAAAAAAGGTACATCACTTCATTTCTTTATCCATCAGAGTACCGGGTGCAAACCTTTCTGCCAAGCTAACTGGAAACCGAAACACACAAAAACAGGCCTAGGCCATCTCCTGGAACTGGTGCTGCTAAGAAACTGTTCAAAGATGATGCTGCTGATGATACTGATGGTGCCACTGGTGGCAGGTATAATGATAGTGGTTGTCTCTGACGGTATATGAAAGATCTTCTGCATCTCTAACATGATGTTTCCTACATACTTGCAGTGCCATCAGCAAGGCCTGATACATCAAGCAGAATGGCTATTGTTTTTTGCTCTGTTAGCCTTGATCCTGAGAAGCCCAGCATTACTAAAAGGCTTTTCTTCACACCGATCAAAAGGAATCTATGGCTAATGTTATTATGATAATTCTAGAGACTGCGTTGTTGCCGTGTTGCATGAGTGCATGTCAAACCAATTAAGCTAGACTTACTCCTTTTGCAAACAGACTTTTAGGTGAACATCCATTATCTATGTGGCTGGGATTCCACATTATCATGATTCATCGTGATAATGCTGAATGCTGTCAGATGGTAACAAACTGTAGCTTTTGCAATGGCAACATAACTCTGTATGGCTAGATTATCATGATCAGTCGTAATGATGTTGGATGCTAACAGATGGTGGCAAATATTATATCTCCTCGCATGTTAGCATTGCCTCGCATAGCTGGTATTGACTGCTATTAAACTATCGTAACATGTGTGCTATTTCTCACATAGAAGCGTGCAAAAAACTTATCAGCTCCAGCGTTTTAGATAGACATAACAACCCAAATCTTAAACCACACAATTCACATGGCAAACAAAATTGATTCGTTCTCCAAACCGTAACCAACATCACCCAACCTACACAGTATGAAAACAATAAACATAATTATGCTCAGCTGCCACCTGCCCTCGAAAAGACTTGGAAAAGACAACACAGGTAGCAGCATGGCAAGCTATTCCCCTATTCTTTCCAGACCCCCATACTCTAATCCTGCTCTATCACTATCCATTTCTCTAGCAAGTTCTCTCTCCCTAGCTCTCCCCCTCTTTCGTTTCTGAGAAACCATCCTTCTCTTCTTTCATCTTCTTCAGTCCATTTTTCATCTCCACCTATTTTTTCTCTGATTGTTCCCTCATCTTCAACTCTTCTTTGCGGATTCCTACTTACAAGACAGGGGCAACATCTTCTTTGTTCCCCTTTCGTCGTCTTAATCAGTGCTAGGTACCACAAAGCATTGAATCTACCTTACTTCTATCTAATTTCAATCTTCATATTATGTTTGTCGGCTCTATTATTGCCTGATACAGATAAGAAGAGAAACCCAGAGTAGATGTACCTTTAGGAAAACCTAAACTCCCGATAGACAAGATAGTTGTTTTTTGCATGTCAAATGCAAACACATTTACTAGCAATCTTCTTTGTTATTCTGTACAGCAACATGGAACCCGACAGCAACAGGCAGATTACAATGCCGGTAACACAACCATCATCTTATGCAAGGAAACGACCCCTAGCAGCAGCAAAGTTTTCAGACAGAAAAGAAACCTCGCAATTGCTAGTAGATATTATATACCGAGACTCAGTAGTTGTCAAGGTACTTGGAGCTGGCAATCCAAGCACCACACAAATATCTGCAATGGTAGGGTTTGTGTGTGACTGTCAAACTGATGATTTTGCCTTGCTTCCATTCCGGCACAGAATGTACCTTATTATTTTCATGGATCACAGCAAACAAGAAGAGCAACAGCAGAAAGCAATAGCCCAAAAAACATTCACTTTCCGAACAACAAAGCTTGAATTTGGACCCTTCGAAATGAATTTCGGCAGCACTGCAAGTCCATTGCGCCAGAGAGTGATACTGGCATTAGAAGGGGTTCCACCTGAATCATGGAACAAGGAAGCTATATCAGACCTGCTTGACAACAACTGCAGAATTGAAAAAATATATGCAGAGAGCACCATATCCAAGATCTTTCTGTGTTTAGATTGGCTGCATGGACAACAAACTGTGATCTTATCCCCAAGATTATAGAATGGAACATTGAGACAAATCAGGAAGGGGAGCAATGTACTGATCTCAAGTGGAAACCAAACGGTGATCTATCTATCATACTTATTCACATTGAAAAGTTATTCGACTATAGCAATGAAAACAATACAACTGAAGACAATCAAGGAGATCTCACAGAGTATGAGAAGACAAAGCAGCGCTTGCCGATCATGAAGACATTCCAATGGACCCCTGGTCAGATTGACTCTGATTATGGTCCAATCGAAGGAGGGTCACCGTTAGTGCCACCTCTCGACCTTGACAAAAAAAACTGGTTTGATCCTGACCAGTAGCACAATATATGTCTTCATAAAACTACATGCGATCCAGTGCTATATGTCCTTTGTTTTAGTACCTGATATTAGCTAGATGCGGTTTTATTAAGAAACCTTCCTACTATTGTACTCAGCATCGTACCTCATATTGGCTCTTCCTTGCAATTCCTTATTTTCATCTATTGTTATGCTCCTATTGCTTGCTTCATTTCCTCATAATAATCTACAATGCCAGCACATGTTCATCCATTAGCTGCATAGCCCTTGACAAACGGTGGGGCGCAGCGAAGCGCGCCAAAAGTCCTAGTATAATAAATTGTTGGTCATATAACCATTGAGATTTGAAATGATTGCATGTATAACGTATAGAGTTTGTAATATGTATATTCTATTATGTTTTCAACGGTGAGAGGATCAAACAAGTCTAAAACTAAATATATTTGAACAATTTATCATATAACAAACTTATATCATGTTTGGAATATAATAACATTGAAACACAAATATATGAGTGTTTGTACATGGGTCGCGTGACATATTGAGTTTGTTATATGTCAAAATATAATACTGCAAGTTGTTTCTTATAAATGTGATGTTTGTATTGAATTTTGACATTTCAAATTTGCCTAAATTTTCTTCCCCGACAAAGGCTACCAACTTCTATTTATTGCCAAGAAAAAGCTTTCCAGATGGTCATGTTTAGTTATATCTTTAGATAGTGAACTTATGAAAGGAAATTAAGTAAAGAAATCACATTAGTATTGACAAGGAAAAAGTGATCCGAGGTATCAAGACAGAACTTGAAAAACTTATTTTGTAGAGTAGAGGCCTGAATTTAACACATAGTATTTGTTTGAAACAGGGTGATAAGATGTAGAAACACATCTCGGGCGAAAACATTAAACATGTAAATTAAGAACACAAGAATGTGTGAGGTTGATTATTTGGATGATTCACATGTATAATGTCAATTCTATGCAAATAAAAGGAAATAATATATCAATGTTGGGTTCTTTAAAACTCCTGAAAATATAGAGAAAGGAATATTTAGTGCCAAAAAGATTGGTGTCAGTTATTAAAAAAGATCATATAAAGAGAAAAATCATTTTATCAATTACTTTAAAAGCCCTCAAATGGTCATTTAGATTGAACATATTTTTTTCCTACAAAAATCATGTAGACATGAAATAAATATATACATATCCCATTGCTTTAGTGTCCTCGCTAATCTCATGCGATATGGAGTAAAATTTGACTGGGTCGAGGCTCGGACTTGTCATACACTGAATCCGCTCCTGAAATAGGCCCCAAAGCAACTGTAATGTCTACCTAGGAGAAAGAGGAATCGCAATCTTGAAAGCATAAAAGAAATGAAGCACTAATTGTTGGAACATCCATTAGAATAGAACAAGCCAGTTTTGACTATATAAATAAGTAAAGGATAATTGAGGGAGTACGACACAAATTACTCATCAAGTTGTTGAGTTATTACTATAAATTTAAATTTAAGATAGGAAAGGAAAATAGAACTGCTAATGCTTTATCCATAGTCCAATCCTTGGATCACTTTATGGAAGTTCTAATAGTGATTCCCAGATAGCCACCTAGGTTGTAGAGAGTAAGGGCCTGTTTGGCACAGCTCCAGCTGTGGAGCTAGAGCTCAGCTAAACAGTTTCAGCTCCACCTAAAATGGGAGCTGAGCTGAGCGGAGTTCTCTCACAAAATGAACCAAAGATGTGGAGCTGGGTTTAGGCAGCTCCACAACTTCACTCCGGACCCAACTCCTGGAGCTAAATTTAGGAGTTAGAGCTCTACCAAATAGGTCCTAAACGAAGATGAAAAATGCAGAGAAATTGAAACTAATATAAACTTAGGCTTGATCCAAATGCACAACTCAAGAAATTATGCAGAGAGTACAAAGACATGATATATTGTGGGAACATGAAATCCTTTGAGAAAACAAACTCAAGAAGTCCTTTCATGATTTGGCCTTAGGGGGACATTCTGGAGAAAGAGCAACATATCATATTAAATTGGATCAAGCTTGTGCTGTGTGCAAGAGGACTAAAACTGGACACACCTTGATTCCTGGGTTCCTTCAGCCTCTACCCATTTTTGAAACGGCTTGGAACCCATATCATTAAGGGATTTCATAGAAGTCTTTCAGAGCAAATTCAAGATCAGTTTCAAAAAAAAAAAAACTTCTATAAGCTTTATGGGGTGTCCTTTGTGACTGAGTGCAGTGATAGGGATATAATTTCTGAATACTGAGAATCAAATGCACTGGTGGTGGTTGGACCAGATCTGGTTGTGTCGCACCTACGGCGATTCTGCAACGAATTATTGGTTAATCATGGATGTCTCCTTTGCTGCTTTGCAAGAGATTTTTCATGCAAAAGATACAGTGGAACTATCAGGACAACACCACTGCTGTTTCTTTCTCACAACCTTCTACCATTGGAAAAACCGCAGTGCGCTCCTTTTGCCTTGTCATCGTAGAATAAAACACCCATATATACATCATATGATCATATAATAACCTTGGGCAAACAAAACACAGTGCATTCAATTCAGTTTAGTTGCTTGTTCTGCTGCGTATGCAATGTCTAGAATAGAATCTCCTTTCCTACCTTCCACGAGCACTTAGTGATATCTGATCACTTCCATGCTTGCAAAGTTGCAATTGCATAGCAGCAGCAGAAGAAGAAAGAAAGGTATCAAGATAACTGAACATTTTGGGAGATCAATTGCGTGGGATGACAACTTCTGAAAGCTTCTTGGCATGAGGGCAGCTCATCATGGGACAGGATCAAAGATGCTTTTGGCATCTCTGCACTTTTTGTATATGTCCTTTCAGGATCGCCACAAAATATCCTCTTTTGTTATCTTGTTCTCTTAGGTTAAAAGAACGGTGGAGAGAAGACACTCTGAATTGATAGATTGGTATTGGTCATTACAAGAAGCCTGCGTTTTTTGCACACGCCCTCTCATTCTCATTTGAAGAATCTGAGACTCAGAGAGTGCAACCTCTCACTGCTTGCGTGCCTAACTCTTGAGGTATATTCAGTATCTGTTTCTTCAGGAATGTGAGTTAGTGGGAGATACAGACAGCTACAAAAT